CCTACATTTACCAAGCGCGAGGGGTGACAGGCCCGACGTGTCAAAGAACCACTAAAACTGACATATGTGCCTACACTGAGCTTCGTTGTTCTGACTGCGGCCCATCATGCAGCCTGTGGGATGCCGGGAACTGCCAAAGAAGGTTACGTAGCGTTGGGCCAGGACGATACTCACAAAGACAGCCAGGCACTGAGATCCAACATCGGAAACCCAAGACTCAGCTGACCTAACGTCAGCCTCTACAACCCCCGACTTGATGAAAGCTGCAAGGATGCCTTTGGCTTTGACGCGGGGCAGCTGCATCTGCGTAACATCCTGCTATTCGGCTACCAGAGACACGAAAACTTATTTTTGTTGCATTTATCTTATATGTACCCAGGCTGAAGGATCCCTTCTGCCCTTGCGATCAAGAAGCGTATTTGGGGCATCGTTCCTTTAAACCATTTTAAATCTCCGCATCAAGTCCGGCTTGTGGCCCAGAACAGACGCTACATACAGACCGGTGGATGTGAAACTGCGGCACTGATGCTGTGCTTGGATACTTCTCCGTGCATGAGTTTCGCACTTCTCTCGGTCACTCGCGTGCTCCCTAGCATACTTGCTCAGAGAAAAACAAGTGAGTGGAGGGAAATACGACTGTCGTTGAGCCTCTGAGATGTTTGTTTGGCCGCACTAGTAAGGCGGAGCTTTCCACTTTCATGCTGCAGCCGCGATAAGTCATGTGGAACCACAAAAACTCGTCAGAGGCACTGCGTAGGGCAGCTTCCGCGTCGACAGTTCGAAGAGAATGACCCCAAAGGAGTAGACGTCAACCTTCTCCGTAACGCCTCCGGGTCTGCTGGGGAAGGAAAGCAGAAAGCTAGACCCTGGTGAGAAGACACGAAAACAAGGCCGGAGCAATTGATATTACCATCATCTACCAACATCTAACCCTGCTCCTCGCACAGACCGCAATGAGAACACAATTGTTCAAGCCCTTCTTGTGGAGCTTGCATCGAGAAAGAATAGCTATATAGCCGTAGCCTTATAATGTTACAAAAAGCTCCAGAGAAGCAATGACTACTATTATCATTATTCTTCTTACTTACTGCTACTAGCATTTTTACTACCAGTATTACGATTCTTGTTATGAGCATTTTTGTTATTATTCTGAAAAGTTGCTGTTGTGATTAACACTATAATCATAATCATCATTATTAGTGTTATTAATGTTGTAGATTGCTGCTACTATTCTGACTACTATCAATGGAGCCTCCCCCTTTGTCATCAAAGATCTCAGGGGGAGCCCAGATCGGTGACACGCCCCGAAGCGTTGTTTGCAGAGCTGTCCTCGCTCGCATTCCGGGCTCGAAAGTTACGGTTTTAGGGTCGAGGGCTCAAAGGGTTTAGAGTTTCGACTCTCACACTCGCACAAAGGGTTTCGGGTAGGCCGAACTTTAAGGGTTTGGGCGTTTAGGTCTTCAGGGACATTTGCCAGTCTCAACAACCACAACTCCCACATCCCTTGTCCAACTGCAAGACGAGTGACATCTTGAGTCTTGAGTGGAAAGGTTCTCCCCCGTGTGCCACCGTCACCGATGCACTACCCAAACACGGCCTAAACCAGCCTGTGAGATCTGAATGCGGTCAGTACGGCACATCCTGCAACCACTTTCAAGCATGAGACCAGGGAAACCGTAAACTCACAGTATGTGGCCATGGTGGGGGCTTTGTGTTTTGATATCAGCTTACACAATCACTACATCATCACCCTTGCAGGCATAACTGCAAGCAGCGATGTTCATGTCTTACTGCAGAACCCATACTGTCAACCTACGGTCATAATCACTCGTGTTGTTGTAGTAGTAGTAGTAGTA